GGGGGGGGTGGCGAGAAAAGGAGGAATCGAAAGGAAGACAAGAATGAGAGTACTAAGAGGTTCTTGTCTCAGTTCCAGTTGCCCAGTCGGTGACAACGACCACATTTTGCCAGTAACATCGTAAGGTCGTGGGTTCAAATCCTGCCAGGGACCCAATGTTGTTGTCCTTGGGAGAGCCACTAACCCTGCTATAGACAGTGAAAGAACTGGTCAGTTTGCTAGTGTTTGACTTGAGCGCTTAATCAGCTGCTTGCACTGTATGCTTCCCGGGAAGCTGAGAATATTTCCGAGTGTTCTATGGTCTGCTGGGGTAATAATATAGTGTAAAGCGATTAGAGCTTGCTGTCGAACGGGGATATGTGCTGTACAGACGTTATTTATCATTATTATCAATAAAGAGCTGTACATCGACACAATAACAGTAAGCCACTTAGTCCTGGGAAATAGGCAAGACAGACAGACAGAAACAGAGGGAAGGTAAAGAAGTAGGACCTACCAGTGGCACCCTCCAACCACCCACACAGACAGAATCAACAGAGAAGAAAGTAAAGAAGTAGGACCTACCACTACCAGTGGCCCCCTCCAACCACCCACACAGAGAGAAACAAGAGGGGAAAGTAAAGAAGTAGGACCTACCACTACCAGTGGTGCCCTCCAACCACCCACACAGACAGAATCAACAGAGAGGAAAGTAAAGAAGAAGTAGGACCTACCAGTGGTGCCCCCCAACCACCCACACAGACAGAAACAACAGAGAGGAAAGTAAAGAAGTAGGACCTACCACTACCAGTGGCGCCCTCCAACCACCCACACAGACAGAAAAGTAAAGAAGTAGAACCTGCCAGTGGCACCCTCCAACCACCCACTTATTAGAGGAAAGAGGAGCACATCAACACAGTAACAAATATTACGTGCAGGGAACCAGTGAGACAGATCAAAACTGAGAGAAACAAAAGATGTGGGACCCTACAACTAGAGACGTTTTCCAACTACTCACAAAGTAAACAAGCTAAAGTAAAAAAACAAAAACAAAACAGCCTCAAAGAATCTAATCTCAAAAACTAAAAGCCTATACAAAAAAAGATAAAAACAATAAAAATACAACAGAAATAATATTTTAAACCCCCCCCCAAAAACAACAACAACAAAACACTGACAACATTAGATTGGTAAAACAAAATGAATTTATTCAAATGCAAAGAGCACGTAAAAAAACATTTCCTTGCATTCAGGACTCATTATGACCAGCTGATCATTTGAACCATTCACCTTTCAATTACAGCATTTATCTTGACATTTTCTTTCATTTGTGTGAATTTAGAATAAATTAGAAGCATATTATATTACTATTAATATGGACACAGTAATGGCCATTTAGAGCTAGAAGTGAAGGAGCAAACAGACACAGAGAAAGATAAGTACAGTGGAAACCTGATATAACAGGGTTGACGGGAGTACAGAAATTGTCCTGTTATATCCGATCCATGTTAAATCAGAAATGCAAGGAAAGCATTTGTGGACTAATCCATTCATGGGTAGTTTCCCTTGCCACAAGTACCCACGAACAGAGGTTTTGGCACCAATTTTCTCCTTGCCTCCATAAACCACATCAGAAGAGCTTGGTCTACAGCATCTGCATCGGGTAGTCTCATCTTCTTTCGATCCAGAGCAAACTTTCTATTGGAGTATGCTGCCACTATATTCTCTCCATCCTTGATAATGGTGTGAATCGACCCTTGTGGAAAGTCGAACTGACGACAAATCTCTGCCAGTCGAGCTTGCTTTTTGTCAAAAGCCTGGATTATTTAGTATTTTTTGTCAAATGAAAGACATTTTCTCTTGCGCTTGACATTGTTGGTGACACATTACGCGCGCGTTGTTGCTAGGTTTCGGGCTAGATCGAGGTCTGCAGCACACCGCAGCCCTTTCTCGCTTCACACGCTGCGTGTGCTTGCAGTGGCATGGCTTGCGTGGGCTTGTTGCTCAATCACTGCGCTACTCTCTCTCTCTCTTTACACATTGTTAACGAGCCTTTGTCCCTGCTATAACCAGTTGGGCTCCGATGAGGCCCTGTTATAGCGGATAACTTTTAATAGAGACAAAGAGTAGGAAAAAAAGGGGATTAAAAAAATCCCTGTTATTACCGGATCCCTGTTATTATCGGGCCTGTTATATATGGTTCCACTGCAGTAGGACCTACCAGCGACACCCTCCAACAACCCGTCAAACACTTTCAAGCATGCAGAGTAGTCTCCACACATATTTCCACGTACATACACAAATATATGCGTATATATTATATGACCTGGCAGCAGATCTAGTAAGGCATAAAACGAACATACTTCAGAAGTAGAATGTAAAGGTGACCTCACAAACACGACCAAACTACACACAGGCTTGACATTTGACAGAAAAGCCACACAATATAGTTGCCTACTGAGAAGTGCCAGGCCTACTTCATCCCAAATGTTTAATTTATTTTGCCATCCGATATAGAGCCACCATACTTCATGGTTCAATGAAAAGTCTTTCAGTTTTAGTTAAGAGTTTTAAGGCACCTACAACACAATATGGTAATTTTTTTTTTATAGTAGAGGGTTTTACGGCGCTCGCAACTGCATAAGGTCATATGAGCGCCAAGGGGTGGGTGTCAACAGAAAAGTCTTTACAGGGAATCAGACTTATTCTGCTCACCTCTCTAGCTTCAACAAAACAAGGTCTGCTTCGACTATCAAGGCACCCCGGAAATAGCGGGTCACAAGAGAGTGACAAACATACAAAAGAAGTAGAGGAAATGACAATAGTAAGGATTAGGAAAGAAAAGGCAGCAGTTCCCTGTTGTAGATCAGGTACAGTCATAAGCGCGACAGGATGAATCAGTCCATTTACAATTCTACTGTGCTTGAACGAGAAATGTCTCCCCTTTGGGAATGGCCTAAAGACACTTCAGTCAGTGGCACTGCCCCGGGGGGTTCAATAAGGTCATACAAGTGGCGAGAATAGATGTGTAACAAGAGAATAACACAAAAAAGAAGAAGGAAAGATCAGGATGATAGATGTTTGATAGGAAAGAAAGGAGTAAACCACACCAGAGCACCTGCCAACCACCTGCTGAAAAGTCTAACCCCCTGACACCTTTCTTCCCCAAGAGCAAAGCCATCAACTGTTGACAAAATAAAAGACTAAGAAACCCCCAGATAATAAGAACATTCATCGGTAATCAAATGTCAGAGTGTGACAAACACTCCTCCCCACAAAACTGGCTGGTTCAGCTTGCGATGACTGGAAGTACCAACAAAACTTGTCAATAGACTAGCATATCCAACTAGTCATACTGATAATGTTTAGTTTTAGTACCAGTTCTACAGCACTTGCAACATAAATAGGTCACATAAGTGCTGACGTTTGGATGTGTTACTAGACTAGAGAGTAACATACACAGAAAAGGAGGAGGAGAGATAACTATGGTATAAGTTTGATAGGAACGAAGACACAAACTACATCAGAGAACCCGCCAACTATCCACTACTGAGCAAGAAAAGTTTTGAGCCCCCATCAACACAAACTAGATCATTTCAAAGGCAGACTCCTTCGAATCCATCTGTCAGGGCCGAGCCGACCAGGACAGTAGAATACAGAATCCCAGTTGACGGGCCGGAGATAACTGAACGAAGAAGAAAAAAACCCCAAACAACCTGTCCAATCGAGAATTGAACTTTCAACCTCTGCACATTTATTTCCCCGTTAAATAAAAACATTCACTTTATGCATTCTATTCTTGACACAGCAGCAGTTTCCACTAGATCACTCGCAACAGACAGACAGACAGACAGACAGACAGACAGACAGACAGACAGACAGACAGACAGACAGACAGACAGTCAGACAGGGGCCAAAAGAAAACCCAGCATCCATTCCCATCATCAGACACTTGTAACATTTATTGCTCACTTTTTGCATTTCTTCACCACAAACTCTCTTCAACATTTTATCCACACACATACACTCTCAAAGACTCAGCATTCATTCATTCACTTATTCTTGCAACGGTGGCTAAAAAAACTAATTGAAAAAAAAAAAAATCCCTGTGACCCTGAGGAAGGGGTGAAAGGTCACAACTCGTTGTATCTCTTCAGCGACAGTCGGGGCACAATGTTCATGGACTGTAGCTCTTGGAACAGAAGCTTGCAGGCATACGGCATTTTGAGGGTGGACACATCCTTAGAGGACTTACAGTACTGGCACCTGGGGGGGGGGGGGGGGGAGTAGAGAGAGAGAGAAAGTTTAGTTTTTAGTAAGTAAGTGTCTTACAGCACTTGCAACACAATAAGGTCATATAAGTGCCGAAGATTAGAGGTGTTACAAGAGAGTAACAAGCACAAAAAAGGAGGAGGAGAGATACGGAGAATAGATATTTGATAGGAAAGAAGGAGCAAACCAGAGCACCCACCAACCACCCACAGAGAGAGAAAAAAAAAAAAATGAGTCCGAGTCTCAATAAAGAGAAGCACATTGACACAATATTCGTCTTATAGTGCAGGGAAGAAGCACGACAGATAAACAGAAACAACAAAGGGTTAAAAAAAAAGAGCAAGGCCTACCAGTAGCGACCTCAAACGACCCATAGAGAGAAAAAAGGGATAGTACAGCTTCAGAACATCTTTTTTCCTCTTTTAAAATTTGAACAGCACCATGCTGTATGAAGAGGGAACTGGAAAAAATCCAGAACTTTGGGACCCGTGGAATGTACGCACGGGGACTCCAAATTTAACAGGTCAATTTGTCCAATACATCTTGTGTTAAAAATATTTGTATACAATTGCCAAATATGGCAAGTATAAAGAGATTAAAATATAAATGAATGTATAAGAAGAAATATACACTACAAAATCCAGACAATTAGGGTCTACAGAAATCAGGATTTCCAGATTTATCGAGAAAATCAGCATCTCTGTGGATTCGAGATCAGAAATTTGTTCATTCCGTGTCCAGGAAGACGAGGCCAGAGAGAAAACCCGAAGGATTCCACACAACAATAACTCACCATCCGGAGTAGCCGATGAGTCCGCACTGACCACAGACGTCCACCTCAAACTCGTCGCTGGAGATCATGAGTCGCTCCAACAGCAGCATACTGGGGGAGGGGGAGAAAGGATAACCAGGTTTGGTTTTAGAAAGAGTTTTAACTCTTTATCTCCGAGGGTGGTAAACCCACTATACTGGGGCCCTCTTTTGGAACAAAACTAAAAGTGACAAATATGTCACTATATTGGTCATTAAATAAAAACAAGCGAACCTTTTTCGATAGTTCTTATCTAATGAACGAACTCCCGCTAAAAGAGACCTGTTCTTAACAATTGTCGAAAAATAATTTGATGCCGGAGGCGTAGTAAAGGAATGTGCCACCTTTGTCATATCAATAGGCCGAAGGGCTCAAACTCAGATGGCCACTGGATCGGGAAAGTAAAGTAAGTAAGTAAGAGTTTAACGGCACCTGCAACACAAATAGGCTACTCTCTAGTAACGTAACACCTATATTCTTCGGCACTTACGAGCATATATATGACCTAATTGTGTAGCAAGTGCTGTAAAACTCGTACAAAAACTAAAACGTTGACTCGTTGGGTCCCATAACCAATGAGACAAAAATAAAGTAACTAAACCTCATACTAAAACCAGAACGCTGCCTCACCGAGAACTCGTCCTAAAATTAAAACACTAACTCACCTGGCCCCATAACTGATGAGACAAAAGTAAAATAACGTAACTAAAACACTGACTCACCTAGCCCCATAACCGATGAGACAGTCCCTCTCCATCTCCCCCAGACGTAGCCCCCCGTCCCTGGACCTCCCCTCGGTGGGCTGACGGGTCAGTACGGCGCGCGGGCCGCGGGCTCGGGCGTGCATCTTGTCCAGCACCATGTGCTTGAGCTTCTGGTAGTAGATGGGCCCGAAGTAGATGTACGCTGCCAGGGGCTCCCTGAGGCAATGGGAGAGAAAGAAACAAAAAGTCCTCTGTTAAGTCCACATTTTTCTTCTCTCAAAAGTTCATGTTGTACTTGTCGTAACTTTCTTACTTCTTTGAATAAAAAATAAAATACTTTAAAGTTTTTTCTTATCCAGTGCTGCGAAAGTGACACATAATTCTTGTCCACACAGTTGAACCCATGTGGAATGAGGACCAACCCCCCCTCCCCCTAAAAAAGCTAGCCATGAACAAAAATAAAACCCCAACCACACCACAAACCTCAAACTAAGCACATCTTGTTTTATCAACCAGATGGTGTCATTTGCATAAGAATGGGCAGAGGCCTCTCCCCCCCCCCAAAAAAAAAAGAAAAAAAGAAACAAAATCAAACCTGCACATACACAATTTTAAAAAACCCAACAAAAACAGCAGGAGCAGCGAACAAATTCAGCTCATCCTACTTTCTCAACCATATATAGCATCATTTACACTAGAAGTTACAATAATAAGGGAAAACAAAAAGACGTAGTTAGTGCTTACCCAGTGATGCCAGACGTGACGTAGTCCTTGCCCAGGTAGTTGAACCCGTGGTCGATGAGAACCTCCGACAGGTCCGCCACCTTGTCACCGCCAAAAGCTGGAGAGTCAAACACACAGTGTGTTAAAAAAACACCCAACCACAAGACCATGAGGCCTTTTGTTTGTTTGAGTAAAGAGAAGCATCTTGGCAAATTTGGTCGCTTTTAAGCACAAGGGGGCTATCCCCATGGTAAAGTTTTTGCACCTAGTTCAGTTTCTTTTACAAGCAGAGTTTTCTCTATAAACAAACAAATATACACACTAATGAAACCAAACTTCTTCTATAGTAGACAGGCCAAAGCCCAGTTTTGGTGTAAGTAAAGATTTCTGGAAACCTTCCAAACCTGGGATAGCCCGCTTGTCCTCAAAAGCGACCATTTAACGCAGGGAAAAAAGTAAGACAGACAGACAGAATCCACAAAGGGGAAAGAAAAGAAATAGGGCCTTCTAGTGGTGCCCTCCAACCTCCCATTGACTTTGTATGAGGCCTAAATAGTTGGAAAACTTTTTACTTTACAATCACAATACAAAGTTATAGATTACATCTTTTTCCGCTGTTTCTGTACTTAAGTTGTAAAAATTTGTATTATTATTAATTAGCATATTACAATAAAGTGACCAAAACTTTTCCTAAGCCTTTCCTTTCTACACGATAAAGTTGCATTTCCGATTCCTCACCCAACTCTCCACATAATAAATATATCAAATGAATAAAGGAAACAGCTGTTAAATAATAAGCCGTCAAATAAAGATAAAAGTCTGGACTAGCATCAAGAAAAAGTAAGACAGACAGAAACAACAAATTAAAAGGAAAGACAGAAAATTGGACCTACCCAGTGGCTACCTCCAAACACCTACCGGGATAATCTTTATACATACAACATTTCCATGTACAGTCAAAGCTGCCCCATCGGCCACTTGTCTAAGACCTGTACAAAAGATCACTCTCCCTTTGGGTTTTTTTGTTAGTTGATATTACAATGATACTGTCCAAGGCATCCACCTGTCTAAGACAGCCACTTTTCTCCTCGACGATGAGGGAGGCCGCCTTGGGACAATTTCGACTGTACTCGAAAAACAGAAACAGAACAGAACAGCAACGAGTCAAATGTTACTTGAGGTTTCTCTCACCTGTGCCGTAGTGGAACTTCCCCTCCAGGACGCCTGCCTTGCTGCCCAGCAGCTCGATCAGTTTCCCCACCGTCATACGGGACGGGTACCCGTGGGGGTTCATGATCTGAGGGTGAGAAGAAGGAGATGAAAATTGTTTCTTTGACTTTGAGCTATTATTTTATGGTGTGTGAGTGGTGAGTGGGGGTTGTATTTCAATGTTATTCATACTTCTTCTCCAACGATGGTTTTCTCCTTTTGTTCAACTCTTATATCAGTGCATTTAGCAGCCTTCTTGGGTTCTCACATTCTTAGGTACACAGTGGGGGCTTACTGCACATAATGACTGTTAACTGCCCAGAGTGATGGCTATCTGCACACAGTGGGGGGTCTTACTGCACATAACGACTGTTAACTGCCCAGAGTGACGGTTATCTGCACACAGTGGGTGCTTACTGCACATAATGACTGTTAACTGCCCAGAGTGATGGCTATCTGCACACAATGGGGGCTTACTGCACAAAGTGACACTACCTGCACATAGTGACATAGTGACAGCTAACTGCATAGAGTGACTGCTAGCTTCCCACAGTGACGGCTATACTATCTGCACACAGTGATGGCGACCTGCACATAGAGACTGCTAACTTCCCAGAGTGATGGCTATACTATCTGCACACAGTGACGGCTAACTGCACATATTGACATAGTGATGGTTATCTGCACATAGTGACTATAAACTGCTCATTGTGATGCTAATTGTAAAGAACAGTAACGTAAGGAACACACTGAAGAACAAACATGTAGTACACATTATTGGTGCCAGGCCCACAGCATGACAAATTTTTTCATTGAAATTTTCAATACACATAAATAAATACATAATTATGTTCTATGTATACAAATGTCATGCAATTCTAAAATGAGCCATCTCTTTGATTGTAATGCGCATTCAGCATCTTTTAAAAAATGGAAATGCACAGGACAGACGCTATCTATTATTATTATTATTACATATCATTACAGATACTTACAATGTCAGGACAAATTCCCTGGAAAGAGAGAAAAAAAAAAAGAAGAAAAATTACACACTGAGAAAACAATGAGAAACATGTGACATACTGGGTTTTCCTATCTAACACGATGCCACTATGCTGTACTTTTTCTCTCTGTTTGTTTCAGTGTAGAGAAGCACAACCTGATATTTATACAAAACCGTTCCTTTATAGAAAGGACTTTTGTAAAATAAAAGGGCCGGGATGCATGAAAATTGTGTCAGCGAGTAAGCTGTCAGAATATTGTTTTACTGTGAAACATTTAGAGCCGCCAGGGAAGCACCGCATGGAAGCAAAATTTTGTATTATCATTTTTTACGAATAAGAGGAAAACATAGGACAGACAGAAGCCACAGGGTGTGTGTGTGTGTGTGTGTGTGTGTGTGTGTGTGTGTGTGTGTGTGTGTGTGTGTAAAGAAGTAAGGCCTATCAGTGGCGCCCTCCCATGACCCACTTTGTCTATTGCATTTTGTGACATTCAACATTTCATAAAAATAGTTTTCCATTATTTTAATGTGAAGAATATGGACATTGACATAAAATTTCTAGGAGTATATCATGAACAACATAGTCTGCCCTGGAAGGTAAAGAACGGTCACACATAACAAAAGGAATCTTCATCTGTCCACAATCTATCAAACTACAGTCAAAGCTGTAGCTTCAGCAACATATCGCAAGCCTCGGGCACAAACCAGCCAACTCCCTATTTCCTTCTGACTTTTTCATGATTTATATAGCTACGATATCACATCCCACTTTCCACCATATCCTAGACTAGTATTTTGCCCTAAATAGCTATGTGATCAAGGCCTAGGTCACAACGCCAGTTTCAAGAAATAGAAAATCAGGTTTTTTCCCCTTCTCCTGTAGAAAATACTATATATCTCCAGGCTAAAACAGTTTGCGTACGAAGCCGTCGATTTGAAGCAACGCATGGTGTCAAAGAGTGAAGGGAGATAATTCCAATTCACCAGGTCATTTTTTAGTTTTAGTAGAGGTTTTACGACGCTCGCAACTGCATAAGGTCATAAGAGCGCCAGAAGAAAAGAGGTGTTACAAGAGAGTAACAAATATAAAAAAAAATAAGAAGGGGAGATAAGGAAGATTGATGTTTCATTGGAAAGAAGGAGCAAACCACACAAGAGCACCCGCCAACCACCCACTCACCAGGTCTGTGAAAGGCATGTCCTCCTGAGGTACAATGAGGCCGCACACTCTGGAAGACAAGAACAAATAAAGACAACATAATACTATAATGGAGTCTGCTTAACCTGAACACGATCAACCCAAAAACAAGGTGGCAAATTGAAAGTAGATAAAAATCCCCTATTTTCTTTTTCCTCTTCTTTTTGAGCAGCCTTTCTAAAGCTAAAACCTGGCTAAACGGAAGACAATCTGGAGATCCAGATTGAATTGACCATGACACCACAGAATCTACGGCTGATTTAATCGACCGTCAACACTTGGGAGGAGGGTTAAATTAATTTGATTACCATGTCCTGAGCACGCTGCAAACAGTTCTTCCAAGTTTTTTTTTCCTATATGGTGGCCGGCCAGACGCACTGACCTCACTGAACGGATTTAGTCCACAGGCCGTAGGTTGGTGGTCCCATGATCTGACTCATTCAGATCCTACCTTCCTCCAAATGTTATCATCACAAAGAACTCAAAATGAACAAATGACAAGAATTAAATGAACAAACTATATGAGAGATTGAAATGCTACACTGAAATGGACATTCATCAGAACTTGACTAAAACAGAGATTGAAATGCTAAAGCGAAATGGATGTTCATCAAAACAAGACTAAAACAAAGATTAAAATGAGAAAAACCCCAAAACAAAAAACAAAACAAAAGCAACAAAAAATTAGGGGGAAAAAAATGAAACGACTATTCATCCAGACTGACCCCTTTTGCCCATGGCGACTGCTGAACTTGTCTCCGACCTCCGGCCGGCGCGTCTGCCTCAGGAGCATCTTGACCAGGAAGGACTCCTCCTGGTTGGACGTGATGAGAACCCGCTCAATGTATGACGGCTCCGGCCCTTTGTAGCTGCAGGAAAACCAGAGACCGTTTCATACTTTGTTACTGTAACTCATACTGTTTTAGTTTTAGTAAGAGTTTTACGGCACTTGAAACACAATAAGGTCATATAAGTGCCGAAGATTAGAGGTGTTACAAGAGAGTAACATAATATATGAAAAAACAGGAGGAGAGATAAGGACGATTGATGTTTAAAAGGAAAGAAGGAGCAAACCACACCAAAGCACCTGCCAACCACCCACTATCTGCAGGTAAACCAGTGACCGTATGAGGTTTGGTTACTGTAACTCTTACTGTTTTGCACTCACATTTGTTGGCTTGAACAAAACAATCATTGTTTCTGTCGATAAAAACAGTCCAGTTGGACCTGCTATAATGACCACCCGTCCAAGACAATCACCTGTACGAATGACCACTTCCTCTGTGCGTTTTTTCCTACATTGTAATGACACTCTCCAAGATATCCATCTGTCGTGGACAACTACTTTTCTCCTCAGCATGTGGCCGTCTTGGACAATTTCGACTATAATTCTAAGTCTGTTACACCCCACTGACATAATTCATTGTTGGGGGGGGGGGGGGGGGCACAACCTGAGATGAGAGGGATGCAGCATTTCAACTATTGGATGGTGAAACTTGATAAAAACAACCTCCCCACTCGGACACTGAACTTGCATCTCCCGCACGCAATGGCAAAGAGCCTAACTGCTAAACTGTAGACACCGATTTCACTGCTTTATCAGATATACAGAGCCATACTAGAACACCCGCGCTCATATGACCTTATGCAGCTGCAAGCGCCGTAAAACTCTTACTAAAACAAACAAACAAACAACACTAGAACACAACATAGAAAAATTTGAATTTGGAGCAATTGTTCTTCCATGACCAAAAAAAAAGGAGTTTTCCTCCAAATCCTCCCAAAAGGTAGAAGTTTTGGGAAAAGCAATCAGAGTACGCCAGTAGATTAAGATTGCATAACAACCCTACAGCAGCAGAAATGTAATTTGTATTGCAAGGACACGCAAATAAAAAGATACATTTTTCAGATAAAAATTTGGTGGCATGCTCCAGAAAATGTCTATTGCAGTGTGTGCAAGATAGCGACTTTAGGAAGATAAAGTTTTACATTCTAAAAAAGAAGCAAAAAACCCCCACAAAAAACTAAAAAACCTTATGTTCCAACCGTTTCCCTCTCTCCACCAAACTCCCCCGTGTACGTACGTGATAGGTGTTTCCTTGTACTCCGTCTGCTTCCCCATCTGGTTCTGCACCGACGAGGAGGAGGTCACCGTGGGCATCTCTTTGTTGACCATCACCTGGCGGTTCTCCACACGCACACCTGGGGACATCACAACAACACGCGACTTCTTAACCCTATTCGTACGTCCTGGGGTCATTTTGTACCCCCGGGGTTGTATTCTTCACATTTTAGAATACTTCTTGTACGAAGATCTCTTTGATACTTTCAGTATTTCTCGAAAAATCATTTTGACAGACTGCGATGCAAAGCGTATGGATCGGATTAACGAGCAATTTTCCTCTTTGGACAGTGGTGGCACAGAGTTCCCCACGTCGTATGGATACGATAGTAAAACACGACGTACGGATAGGGTTAACTCAGACCCAACCCCCCCCCCCCAACATATTAAATGTTTTTATACATACTGGTTGGTAGCAATGCAAATTAAATACATCTTTTTCTAATTACTGGGGCTCTATATATCCTAGACAGTGAAGTGGAGGTCCATGATCGCCCATGCCAGTCGGCAGGCACCGGATGATGATAATACATCCGAGTCATTAAAAAAACAAAACAAAACAACAAAAACCACACAACCTACTGGAGCTAAATATACCCTGGCTACAAATTCTAAGCCCACTTAAATCTGCACGAGCCCACCTACCTGGCGCCGCTATTCCGTCCATGTCCAGGGGCTCGTGTTTCCAGATTGGCTTGTAGGTGTCTCTGTCCACCTTGGGCCCCAAGATGCGGTCAAAGGTCAGGTTGGCGTAGCGTTTCACCGCACACGTCTGTTTCTTGTAAACCAGGCAGCGGCCGAAACCTGGGGGGAGGGGGAGAGATTTTTTAAATTATGGTAGAGGGTTTTACGGCGCTCGCAACTGCATAAGGTCATATGAGCGCCAAGGGGTGGAGGTCAATAGAGAAGTCTTTACAGGGAATCAGACTTACTCTGCTCAACTCTCTAGCTTCAACAGCACAAAGTCTGCTTCGACTATCAAGGCACCCCGGAAGTAGCAGGTCACAAGAGAGTGACAACATACAAAAGAAGTAGAGGAAAATGACAATAATAAGGATTAGGAAAGAAAAAACAGCAGTTCCCCGTTGTAGATTAGGCACAGTTATGAGCGTGACATGAATCAGCCCATTAACAATTCTACTGTGCTTGAACGAGAAATGTCCCCCCTTTGGGAATGGTCTAAAGACACTACAGTCAGTGGCACTGCCCCGGGGGGACGGGGGGGGAGTAATCCACAATAGGTATTTATGGTGTTAACAGTGCAGCCTCTCTATAACGACATCGTCACGATCGTCAGGACCAGAAAATGATAACAGGGTGGGAGATGATAATGATAACAATGACAATGACAATCTTTATTCATCTCGCAGGGAGAAATTCGTCTTGGTCGTTTACAGTGGCAGTAGACGTTACAAAAGTTAGGTGCACTCACGCATACGCACAACAAGACAGGACGTTAGTAAATACATGACAACCCACTCCGTAAAACACTCTCTCTCTTTGTGTTTCATTTGTAGCACTGTTGGTCCAGTAACCTAACTGCAGTTGGAACGAATGAATTTTATATCTGTCTGTTCTTGCTTTTTTGGAAATGTATTGTTTACAGTGGGTCGATAGTTGAAATTCCGATGTCAGTGGGTGGCTATGGTCATTAAGCATTATTTCTGCCTTTTTTAGAAGGGTTTTTTTCCTCGAGATACTCAAACTTATTTAGGTTTCTACCAATTGTTCTTGATGCCTTCCCAAATTGCTACCATAGCAAGTGATACCAAAATTAATCAACAACGGGGGAGATAATGATAACAATGAGGGTGATAATGTTACACATCATCATCATCATTATCAGCACCCTCATTGTTAATAGCAATGTGAATGATGACGATAATAATAACAATGTGAGTGATGATAATGATAACAAGATGAGTGATGATAATGATAACAAGATGAGTGATGACAATGATAACAAGATGAGTGATGACAATGATAACAAGATGAGTGATGATAATGATAACAAGATGAGTGATAATAATGATAACAAGATGAGTGATGATAATGATGACAACAACATGGGCGAAGATAACAAGCCCCTCACCTCTGTCCAGGGAGGCTTTGTTCAGCACCAGCGCGTCCTCAATGTCGTAGCCGCTGTAGCTCATGACGGCCACGGTGGCATTCTGGCCCGCCGGCAACTTGTCAAAGTGGATCAGTTCTATGGTCTGTGAGAGGAGCATGGGGTGGGGTGGGGAAGGAAGGAGAGACGGTCAGTGAGAGTAAAAATACTGCCGGCAACTTCAACTCTTCAAACACACGCTATTTTGAGCACAATTTCAGGGGAATTTTTTTTTAGGTTGTACTCGTCAATACGGCCTAGAAAAACCTCAGATATATAGAAATATAGTAATGTCAGTCATCAATTAAGTACAGTCAATTGTATATGGAAGCTGACAGTAAAGGAATCCTAAATGTATGACTTGTCTTTGCTGAGTAAAAGGTTAGGAAGAAATAATGGAAGAGATAAGGAGAAAACCCCATGAATGGTGAATGGCAGTGTTCTTCCATTCTTCGATGGTTACGGAACTTCCCCGAATAATGCTGAGAGCGTCGTGAGGTGTTTAAAAAATTACAGCTTGCTAACTTCTTCAAAACCCAATCAACCACACCCAACATTAAATCATCAGATTGCATAACAACAAACAAAAATACATCAAATGAAACCGATTTCAGCATAGTGTGTTATCACTAAGGCTCTCAAATTCCTGACTGTCAAATCCGAGATTTCCCTGTAAAATTGTGCCAAAATGGCAGCAGCTTTTGCCCTATCTAAGAAGCAAAATCTGCCCCCCCCCGACACAATCCGATGAATCCGATTTGTGGTGTGCACTAGGTATAACCATCACGTGAGCGAAACTGGAGTAAAGTTTGCCGACCACCCAAGACCACCTACAACCACCCACCTTTGACTTGACCAGCGGGGCTTGAGGGTAAGCCAGGGAGTACAGCAGGGTGTCAATGCGATTCCTCTGGTTGTAGCCAATAGTTCCTGAAACACAAACAATAATAATTATAATAATTATAATAATAATGAAAATGATAATTATAATACTGATAATAATATTAATTATATATATTATAATAATGATAATAATAATAACGATAATAGTAATAAAAACAATAACGCTAATAATTATGATAATAATAATGACAATAGTAATAAAAACAATAACGATAAAAATAATATACGTACAATAAAAATACTATGATTATTGATAAAAAGCATAGAGCCTATATCCTCGCTCATCAGCAAGCTCTATGTGCTTTATAATCTACAACTATTATTACCCCAGCAGACCCTAGAACCCTCAGAAACATTCTCGCCTTCCTGGGAAACAGCCGATTAAGCACTGAAACACTAACAAACTGGCGAGACCTTTTGCTCTCTACAGCCGGGTACCCATTCCTGTCTGGGTGAAGAGAGGAACATTTCTTATAGTGCCCTTCCCTAAAGGACACAATTTTGGGCTCCTGGCAGGATTTAAACCCAAGACATTTCCGTTGTGAGCCCAACCACTAGAAGAAAAGGAGGAGAGATAAGGTCGAGATGTTTGATGGTAATGAAGGAGCAAACCCTACCAGAGCGCCCGCCACCCACCCACAATTAAGTCTTTTTATCGTCTAAAGCAGACTAAAACTTGCTCACACCAACCACACAGACTATAAATATAAATTGTCACACAAGAAAAAAAATTATAAGATGTGATATCTCTTTGACTCTGATGTTCTTAGAGCAAGTTTTAGAAAACGGAAATGTGCACCATAAAAATGACATCTAATAATTTTTATCATGATCAAAACTCCCGCAGTTTTGGACAACCTAAAAACCAGCATTAAAACTAAGACAGTCAAGAAGCCTCACCCATTGCCTGTTTGCCCATAGCGCACTGGTAGGTGTTCCTGGGCGACTGGTTGTGGTGAGGGTAGGGGATCAAACCCGCGCACACGCCCAGGATGGTGAACGGCTCAATCTCAAGATGTGTTGTCTCTCTGCCAGGGGGAAAAAAAGATACAGTCTAGCACACATACATAACAAACACGTACCGAAACATGCACATAGCAAACACACACATAACAAAACACGCACATAGCAAACAGATTTTCAGGTTCCAAATTTCTATTTTACAAGTGTATCATTTTTTTACTTAAAACACGTACATAACGGAATTTGTACGTAATGAAAACATTTCCGTGTGTGTCCCGCCAATTTTGCTATGTCTTAGTAAACCTGATCAGTTGTACATCGATATGCTAACGGAGCAACATCCAGCCAATGGCCCCTAAAACTGAGACATGACCCCGGTGTACTCCCGGTTTGATAGATGTTTTACGGTACTCGCATCGCTTTAGGTTGTATAAGTGCCAAAATTTAGAGTCCCAACAGAGTAACAAAAAATTTTTTTTCAAGTTCTTTATGACCTTATGCAGTTTCAAGCACCATAACACTCTTACAAAAAATCCATAAAAAAGAAGGAAGGTAGCAAAGGATAACAGTAAAAATAGTCGCAGAAGAAGCAAGCCACACCAGAGCGCCCACCAACCTCCTCTCCCACCTGCGTACCCTGTTGAGAGCCTCTCACTCAAAGGGTAATGTTCCCCACATACAGAGCCACCATACAGTCATTCTAGCCACACCAGAGCACCCATCAACCTCCCACCTACGTACCCCGTAGAGAGCCCGACTCACCGTGTGATGTTTGCCTCATACAGAGCCACCATACAGTCGTTCTCCTCGTTCACGTCCAGGTACTCCACTAGACCTTCATGGAGGAAGTCCTCAAAACACCTGTGGGTACAAAAAGTCACAACCAATCTTCACTCTGAGTAGTTTAAAAAAAAAATTCAGCAACCTTTGAGTTAGGGTTGGGTCGGGCTCGCAAAATTAGCGTCCGCGAGTAACGAACTACTCGTTGGCACTACCCGCAAACGAGCGGACGGGTAAAGAACTGTCCCCTTGTGAAGAGTAGTTCGCTACTCGCTACTCATCGGACAGAGACAACAGTTTGTTTAGCGAGCGAGCGGACCGAGAGACCCCATGCATTCGAGCGGGCGAACGGACAGGAGCGACTCCTTCCATCGCATACAACTTACAACCCCCCGCCCCCCCCCCCCCCAAAAAAAAATTAATTAAAAAATCACCCTCCTGCCTCACATTGTAGCTAGGCGTTCATGGCAGAAATTTCTCTCCCCCCCCCCTGGCCTTTGCGATAATTGAAACGTAAACAGTGTGCCCCACGCACGAGGTGAAAGGTTACACACATAGTACTACGTCACCAGCCTCTCTCACTCCCTGTGGCACTGCTAGCGGTTTTAAACACTAGGCCTAATTAACAAACAATAGACCGTGGGCCTAACCTCGCGTCGAGTATCTCGTCTGCTAGAGTTCGTCCGTTTGCCCGCCCGCCCAGTGAATAAAATTGTGGAGCGGACCCAAAAAACGAACTGACTTGAGGTTTGAAGTCCGTAGTCCGCTCGCTGAGAGAGTCAAATTGTGGAGCGGACCCAAAAAACGAACTGTCTTGAGGTTCGCAGTTCGCTCTCATGGCCGTCCGTTACCCGTTCACTCTGACCGAATCCGCGAGTGATGAACCCGTCCGTCCGCTCGCCCCAACTCTACTTTGAGTGCATGAAATTCGGTCCAACATCGGCGGTCTAGTGGTTGGGCTACCGGACTCGTAATTGTGAGGTAGTAAGTTCGGGGGTTCGAGCAGAGGGCCCGACGTTGTGTCCTTGGGAAAAGCATTTCACACAACTTTTCCTCACTTCACCCAGGTGGGAATGGGTACCGGCCATAGAAATCGAAAGATCTTGTCAGTATGTTAGAGTTTGAGCGCCTATAAATGGCTGCTTGCACTGTACGCTTCCCAGGAAGTTGAGATTGTTTCAGAAAACTCTCAGGTCTGCTGGGGTAATAGTATAGATTGTGAAGGGCATAGAGCCTGCTGTTGAGCAGGGATTTGCACAATACAAATGCTATCTATTATTATTATTTATAAAAAAAAGTGGAGGTCTTCATCATTAGTTATTTGTCGCAGAGTAAGGTATTGTCCGTGTTTGGGACAGGAAGAAGAAGCCATCGGAGATCCAAAGCTTCACTCAATAGAAGAGGAAAATATTGTCAAATCTTCATTTACTTTTAAAGGCACATATTTGTGAAAGCTGCACTGTAGTCTAATTAGAGGACTTTTTCTGGCGTGCAGCATAACTTAGCAACACCGCTCAGTGTCAATGAAAATGTGCGGCCTCGTGGTGAAATCAGGCGATCGTCAAAATAATGAATCCAAGAAACCTGCATTTTTTTCCACTGTGAGGACAATTTTAATACAATTTTTGGGGGCTCAACACCTCCTTTGTTCACATAAAAGTACATTTCTATGAGGACAATAGACACATGACATAACAACAAAAAAGTAAGTGACACACATTCACTTCTACCTTGAGGGAAAAAAGACACAGTGACCAACCTGAACTCTCGGCACAGATCCTCAATGTGTTTGGATGTGACCAGTGGCTTCCCTTTGTTCACGATGATATACGGCCTGGGGTGTAACAGAAGAGGCAGTGTTACTATAAATATCACAGTGAACAGGCAGGAGAATGTCCCACACCACACATCTATGTACCGCTCAAACAAATACAAATCAGAAACGCTATAGGGCAATTTATTTTTATAATCTAAACCAATAAACAATATGGAATCTCAAGAGGGTGGAATAAAGCTATTAGAAAATCACCCCCCACCCCTGTACCTTCCAAACCACACAATATATTTTTGCCCCAGGGGAATATGGCAACATCAGACCGAAAAAGTTTGAAAACACTACAGACAAAGACGCCCCAAATGTTGTCATGATACACTTCTAATAGTATTGTCATAAATTTTAAAAAATCAGGGGGCTATTCCATGACAAATTGAAAATACATCAACATATGCATGTAACGTGGGGATGATAATCTGTGGAAAAAAATTCCAAGCAGTGATGGAACCATCCTTTATTTTTTTTTTTCTTGGTAAGAGGAAGTGTGATAGAAAAAGAAGAAGTTTAGAAAAAGAAGAAGAAGAGAAAGAAGACGGAGAAGAAGAAGAGAAAGAAGACGGAGAAGAAAAAGAAGAAGAAGAAGAAGAAGAAGAAGAAGAAGAAGAAGAAGAAGAAGAAGAAGAAGAAGAAGACTACTCCCCAGCAAAACAACGTCCCTGCTTACCTGCAGACTCTACCCCCGTCCGACGCGATGTAGACACATCTGTGCGAGTGGTTGGGGAAGATGGAGACAAACGCGTTGATGTAGCCGGCCCGACGAAGCTTCCGGAACGTGGAGACCAGGCGCTGGTAGTGACTGGTGATACCGACAATGTTGCCTGGAGGAAAGAAAAAGAGGATGAAGCGGCAGTCTGATGTCACAAGACCCGTCAAAACAAGGCAAAAGATTTAATAATAATAATAATAATAGATTGCATTTATATAGCACTCTATCCCATCCCAGTATAAGCTCTGAGCGCTTTACACCAATCACATAATCATCCACACAAGAAAAAATATTTCACAGAAACAAGAAAAACCAGTTCAACCAAATAAAGAAGAACTTTCACAACCATACGCTAACTATACACGAAAGGACATATATAATATACATATATATATATACACATGTATGTTAAAAAATCAGAACTTACTAACTCACCTTAACTAACAATGTACAGAGATTCCAACTGGTAACAAACAAATTTCCAAAAATTTTCAGACTATGTGGAATCAGAATTTACAGATAACAATAATATTATCTTATACATCTTGTGTCAACACTTCACAACCATTGGGGAGAAGCTGGGCAAAATCTGGACAATTTCAAAAATCCTGATTTCCAGGCTTATCTGGAAGATCTGCACCTCTAAATATAACTCAAGGATAACACTACAAAGTATTCTGTAGGGAAAACAAATTTCATAAGGTATGGACAATGCATATTTGTCTTATTTTCTAAAGGTAATGAGATCACATGTCATTACACATCAGCAAACAACTATCACGTGCTATGGGCACGTACAAACACACGTGTAAGCCTGCACCATAAGCCTGCACCATAAGCCTGCACCACTGAAGACAAAAGTGTAATTGTTAGGGCTGCAAGGGATCCTCCCTAGTGTGATTTTGACGAAGAAGAAGGAGAAGATGGAAAAAGAAGAGAAGAGGAGGAGGAGGAGCTGGAGAAAAAGAAGAAGAATGCCAATGAGCACAACACCAAACGACCTCATTATTGACAAAGATGGTAAGAAGAAGAAGAAGAAGAAGAAGTCTAAAAGGACGAAGAAAAACAAGAAGAAGAAGAAGAAGAGGGAAAGGGAAAAAAGAGAAAGAAACAAAAACATCCACCACGCACAATGATAATCGCCCTCACTCACCGTTGAGGAAGACGGTGTAGTAGTTGGGGTTGCTGACCTCTTCCCCGTTGAGCGTCTGCAGATCTTCCACCCCGAGACTGACGGCGATCCGAGCGATGGGCGCCTCCTCCACGTCCACCGTGATGTGGGTCATCAGGGCCAGGTTCTTGACCAGACCGCACGACTGGAGGGGGGACGCGCGCGCATGAGTGATGATGGTGACAATGAAAACCATGACGATGATAGTGACGAAGACGAAGACGATGATAATGATACAATGTCGACGACAGTGGTGGTGATGATGATGGTGATCGAAATGATGAAGACGATTATAATGAAATATATGACGATGGTGATGATAATGATGAAGACGATTATAAAGAAAAATATGATGACGGTGATGGTAATGATAACAAAGAGAGCAATGAGAACACCTAAACGGAGAAAATCTGAACCTCGAAAACAAACTTTATGACATTATGATACAAAATTAGCTGGAAAAAAAACAACAATGCCACCTACATTGAAATAAAATCTGCATAAAAAACAATAGCTCCGACTCCCCTCCTGCCCACAAAGGTGACAAACACAAATTAGCTATTCCAATTTTTAAAAATGGCACCAATATTTTATCGTTATAGAAACAAATAAAAAAGAGCAGATAACTCACCTCTCCCTCTGGAGTGTCTGACGGACAGAGTAGTCCCCACTGCGATGGCTGCAATGACCTTGGCCCACTCACTTTTCTTGTCTTCTCAAACTGTTAAAAAATAAAAGGGGGGAAGAGGGTGGGGGGAACAATCAACTTCATAGATTTTTTTTTCCCACAACAAATTTCAGAGAATAATTTGAATATAATACAGTGCTTCCACCAGCTGAAGCTAAAAAGTAAGGAAAATTCTGCAGGGGGCCTGGGGGCCGCCCCAGCAGGGTCCAGGGTGGGGGTCCAGGGGGCGAAGCCCCCGCAGAAATTGAAATTTAGTGCTTTTAGAGGGTAGAAAATGGCATTTGGGAGCCTGTTTGAAGATATTGCCTACAGCCCATAATATTTATTTTTTCACCAACATTTTGCTGGAAATGTTTAAAAGCAGGTTCCCCTTTCATTGCTACTATAATTCAATTAATTTGTAGTCGCACCATTGACAGCAGGCAAACCTGGGAATAATGAATAGATGTACCTTGAAAATACGGTTGCGCAGCGTATACCCACATTTTTTCTAAATTTTCATGTCTGAAAGTCGCCTGTCACAACCTCGAACACCACTTCGAATTATTCTTGATTTTATACGTGGTGCCCACTATGGACGGGATCGGCCGATCACCCGACTCGATCGTCTCAAAAACAAACGTGTTTGTTTTCAGTTTCAAAGCAAACACGGATGTTCGACCACGTCGGGCGATCAGCGCAATCGGCGATCCCATCCGTAGTGGGCACGACCGTATCAGCATATTTCTTTCATCGCGGCCCTTATATTGCGTTCACGTGCCGTAGAATCTTCACATTGATAATTTCTCTAGATCTAGATAAAATTTGCGAAAAGTTTCTTTCCGACAGTAATTTTCTGTCTAAGATCAAAATCAGTCTTGATCAACGCGCAGATTTTCCAGCCGCGGCAACAATCGGAAGATAGACAGAAGGAATGAGTGAATGACAGAAAGGAGGAAGTTGACACAAAAGGTTCGCCAGATTTTGATCCATCTGCAGGTAAAAAATGCACTGCCGACCAACAAGCAATGAATGTATGGGACTGGGACATAGCGGTATAATGTCCGATTGCAGGAAATGCGCAATTTGGCAGGTTTCTATAATGTTAACTTGTTGCCGAGAGAATTACCGTAAATATCGGTACCTTATACAAGACGATACGAAGGCGAGTACGGAATTTCGGCAGTCCTGCACTGTCGCAGTTTTTTTTACGGAGGGAGTAGATAATGATGGAGGGACAAGTACGGAACTGGCAGAAAGTACGGATTTCCGTAAAAATACGGAAGAGTGGAAGCACTGATAATAACAGTAATTTCTGGCAGGATAAAAGTTAACAGACCTCTGAGGTCAGAAAGAAGAGAGAGATGTCTCTCCCCCCCCCCCCCCCCCCCAAAAAAAAAAAAATTTAAAAAATTTTAATTAAGGAGCAGGCCCTTCCAATAGAACTTTAGTCTTGCTGACCTGGAGAACCTCCAGACAGACCAAAGTCACAACTGACCTGGAGAACCTCCGGACAGAACAAAGACACAACTTTTTAAAAAGAATAGTAAAGGGTTTTACGGCGCTCGCAACGGCATAAGGTCATATGAGCACCAAGGGGTGGGTGTCAACAGAGAAGTCTTTACAGGGAATCAGACTTAGGCTGCTCACCTCTCTAGCTTCAACAGCTCAAGGTCTGCTTCGACTATCAAGGCACCCCGGAAATAGCAGGTCACAAGAGAGTGACAAACATACAAAAGAAGTAGAGGAGAAATGACAATAGTAAGGATTAGGAAAGAAAAAGCAGCAGTTCCCTGTTGTAGATCAGGCACAGTTATGAGCGTGACATGAATCAGCCCATTTACAATTCTACTGGGCTTGAACGAGAAATGTCCCCCCTTTGGGAATCACCTAAAGACACTTCAGTCAGTGGCACTGCCCCGGGGGAAGAATACACAACTGACCTGGAGAACCTCCAGACAGAACAAAGAGAAAACTGACCTGGCTGTTGATCCTGGTCATCATGCCCAGGGCGGAGATGTAACTGAGACGGGAGAGGACCTGGGTCACACCGCCGCGGTCCATCTTGAAACGTTTGATGGTCCAGTTGCCCTGGGAGGTGGGAGAACACACAAACAAAACAATAAGTTTTTAATACGATCATTAGGCATTGCTTTCACACTTCAATATTATTAGTCATAGCATGTTCCCTGCATGTTTACTAGGAAAGATATGTAAACTTTAGCATTTTCAGCACAGAAACGATAGGTCCCAAGCTACAAACATGTATTACTGACCAAAATTTTAAGAAAAGAATAAAGATTTGGTAAATGAGGAGAGCCTACAGTTGTGGTACAGGCAGGCAGATGTTTCTGATCAATGGGGGGGAAAAAAAAAACAACTAATACAGAAGCATCCAACCGATAGATAGTCCGACTTCTAGTAGGTCACTTGCCATGCTCATTGTTCAATAGTTTAGCTTTAGTAAGAGTTTTACGGCACTTGCAGTACAATTAGCTTATATAGGTGCTGAAGATCAGGGGTGATACTAAACAATAATATACAAAGAAAAGAAGGAATGGTAAGGATGATGAATATTTGATAAAGAGGAGAAAAACCACACCAGACCATCCACCAACCACCCACGTACTAGCGAGAGAAACATCACAAACACCAAAAGAAAAAGAGGAAAGATAAGATCAATGGATGTTTGATAGGAAAGAAGGAGCAAACCACACCAGAGCACTCGCTAACCACCCACTTGAATCGTCAAGAAAACAGTGGTACAAGTAAACATACAAAGGACAGTCATATATAGAAACAAAGGGAAAAAAAAACAGAAACAAAAAAAAGCACACAAGCAAAAACAAAACAATTTGAAGCTCTCTTACAGTTCCGATGGCGTTGGCGAGACCATTGGTGATGGGGTCGGTGCGTATGAATTTTGTAATGTCGAACTCAGCCGCCCTGACTTTGGGGATGTTCTTGTCCGCCACTTTCTTCAGCTGTGGAGAAAAGCAACGATGGTAAGAGAGATGAGAGACAGCGACGATGGTAAGAGAGATGAGAGACACCGACGATGGTAAGAGAGATGAGAGACAGCAACGATGGTAAGAGAGATGAGAGACACCGACGATGGTAAGAGAGATGAGAGACACCGACGATGGTAAGAGAGATGTGAGACACCGACGATGGTAAGAGAGATGTGAGACAGCGACGATGGTAAGAGAGATGAGAGACACCGACGATGGTAAGAGAGATGAGAGACAGCAACGATGGTAAGAGGGATGAGAGACACCGACGATGGTAAGAGAGATGAGAGACAGCAACGATGGTAAGAGAGATGAGAGACACCGATGATGGTAAGAGAGATGTGAGACACCGACGATGGTAAGAGAGATAAGAGACACTGTGGTGAAATCAGGCGCTCGTCAAAATAATGAAACCAAAGAAATCAGCATTTTTTTGGCCAACTGACAATTTTTTTTTCTAATTTTCTTTTCTTTTTTCTTTTTTGCTCAACACCTATTTTGTCCATTTGAAAACACATTTCTGTGTGGATTTTTACTGAAAAACATCAATTAAAGGCACAAAAAACGTAAATTTTCAGTTTCCAAAAGACTCGGGTTATGGAAGTGACCAAACTGTGGTGGACATTTTCTCGTTAATTTTACCTCTGAAACCAAACGACCGTGACCTCCTTTAATTGCAAATATTTTGACTTCTATTCAACATGAATGGATATTTATTTCACCAAAAGGAAGGAAAATGAACAGGCTTAAAGTTGACACCAATAACTCCATATATGCCCAAAAATTGACGAGCGCCTGATTCCACCACGTCGTGACATAAAAAGCAACCAGGCACTCCACTTTTGAAATGACCTTTTCTAGCCTGGAAAGACACCACAATTGTTTTTCATGTTTTGTTTTGGAAAGTGTTATACGGCGCTCACAACTGCACATGTACATATATATTATATATATATATATATATATATATATTTCTTTTTCCTCTAGATTTTAGTCTCACGGTTTTATAGATTCCGGAATACAAGCAAGGCATCATTCTAAAGATGCAATGTTTCTTGAAAGTTATGAATTATGCAAAGCAGAGTTATATATTCCTCTCCTTTCAATAAGATATACTTTCATAAACAGATAATGTGTACAATATCTCAACTTCAAAATAAATACCAAGATAAGACTGTACTGCAAAAAGTATTATTGGCGTTAAATAATCAAATAGGGCTGGGCTATTCCATGAAAAATGAGACTGCAATGACACACGTAACATTGAAATGATGACCTTCTGTTAAAAAAAACAACCATTCTAAGCAATGGAAGAACCGTTCTTGATTCTTTTTCATAATTAGCAGACACCCACCCCTCCCTCCCCCGGGCTCAATCACTGTTCTCAATTTTTTTCAGCAGGCAGGTCCCTATGTCACTACAGTTTACAGGGTCCCCACCAAATCCTGGAACATTTTTTCAAGACCCCCAAATTTTTTTCAAGACCCCAATTCGAGGGGAAAATCAGGCCGCTGTGTGTCAAGAATGATCCCCAAAAAAGCCAATCTATCAAAGATAAAAAGTCAAAATGTCTATAAATTAATGCAAATGTACATTTTGTAGTATAGTCTTCAAACAATAGATGACTATAATACTGGGTGACTGCCAAACCAGCTTCTCAATTTTCCAAGGGAGGGGCCTCATCCATTTTCCAGGAACACGTTACATAACAATGAAAGCGTGTGCTCCATTTATATCTAACATAATACATGTATATGTTTGTGAATACACACACACACACACACATGTAGGTACATTATATCCAGTTAACAACATGTCAGTGTGGCACTGGGATCTTGAGAGACTTTGGTATTTCAATCTGTTCTTATTTATATTTTCCCATCATCATATTAGCCAACATAACAAACTATAGACCCTATATATAAAAACGAATCCTGTTTTGAGCCTGAAAAAAGACCTAGAACTAGAAAATCGACTGTCAATAACCAGTCTGGGTGTCCTGATTCATATAATAA